ACACAGCAAATACAAACCTATAGGAAAAACCCAGCATCAGTACACATACACCTATTGATGCAATATTCTTGACTTATAGTCAGTATATCAATAGGAGGAAATTAATACCATCATGGGTCATAAAATGTTGTGCTTGATACGTACATGTGTTGCATGACTTCATTGAGAAATATTCCATCACAGAAGTCTTGATATTCCAGCTCCCTGTCTCCTTCCTGCTGGAATGTTTTCACCTGGAATAAATAAATAATTCACATAAAACTGATGACAAATACCCCAGCACAAACTTATATGCAAGTCATGGATGTCCTGTTTTTTTGTTTTTTTTTTCAAAATTAAGTTAATGAAGACTATGACCAATGCCTCTGCTATTCAAATATATTGGTTTTGCAATTTAATCATGCAATTTTTGATGTTCGCCCCTGAAATTATCACATCTCTTGTTATACTGAGGTTGAGTTTTAAGTTTCTTGTATAAACATAAAAAAATTAAGTTAATTTTCAAAGTTTCTTTGAATAACGGAAGCACTAATAACAGTGACCACATAACCAAATTTAGAGAAATATTGAAATTCAGAGGATCGGTAATTCAGCTTATCTGGAGGGGGAGGGGATATACTATAACTATATAAAATGATTAACCATTGTACAAAAGGTGGTGGTATTTTGTTTGCTGCATTTTAAACTGAATCAGCTGTTTTCAGATTTCACTTAAAACAACCATGAATAATTATAAAAGAATATGATACAATATGCCTTATTCTTAAGATCTGATCTCAAAAGCAAAACAACATGAAAACTTCACGACTTTCCAACTAAATTTAACGTTTAAGTATTAACAACTTAAGGCATTGTGCATTGTAGCGTTAAAGTAATTTCTTCTCTTTCATATTAAAAATTCAAATCATAACAAAACTAGGATTTTCAAACTGAAACAATGAATCATAAAAACCATACCCAAGTGACTAAGGCCGAAGCCATAAAGTTTGAGACGGCAGCCATTTTCCTAGACAGTGTCTTTTAAAGTTTGCCACTAAGACGATCTCTCAAAATACTCCATGCTGCTACATTTTTAGCTGTCTCAACAGTGGTTAATCCGACTAACGTGATAAAAACGCATAGTTTCCTCCCCTGTTTCTCTGCCGTTGTTTACATTCGAATAACGACTGTAGCCAGTAGACAATACAGGTGCCAGCTCTTGAGAACAACTTATTAAGCGATTGACAAGTATATTATTCCACATTCAGATCACCAAGAAGTAATTTCCAGTGCATTTGTGTTATCCTTTTATCCCGGTGATAATCGCAGGCCGACCGATGTTTTGAATTTGGAGCTCCGTTACACCATTACCTGTGGAGATGATACTACTATGACAAGTGACCTTATGTCACGCACCTTGAGGCCGCATTACTGCTTGTATCCTTCCGCCTTGCTTAAAAAGGGGAACTACGTGCAGGTATCCCCTAGTCTTTTATCACGAAAACTCGTAAAATCGATGTGCAATGTAAGAAATGGTCAAGTTTACTTCCAAATGAATCAATATTGTAACCATTCTTTAGTTATGCAAACAATTATATACTTTTGAGACTGCTTCTGAGTTTTAAAAAGTAGCAAAACTTTAAATGAAAATCACTAGCATCATCTATTGGCAGTGAGGCAAACTAAAAACACCTGACATTGGCAACAGAGCAGGAACTTTTTTATTTTGATATTTTATTAAAATTAACTGAATGATTCGCAGAGCAATTAAATTTAGTTTATGGTTTTTTTTTTATTCCACAAAATTCCTAGTGTTTTGTTCATTTCGAAAAGAGTACTGTAAAATAAATAAAGAGAAATTTATGTAAAGTTTTCATATGTAGAAATACTGAAAAGGCTTTGTTATAGTGAGAAAATTCTATTTGCAACACGACTAAAATGTATAAGTGTTTCGGGTACATAGCTTTATGTATATCATTTAAATTTCACATAATCTTATTTCTTAACAACTAACAACATCTAGCTGCCAGGGTGAAAAACAACATTGTTTTGCATCTAATTTTTTTTTTTTCTATCAGGTCATAGGTGAGGTGATAAAGGAAATCATTTTAAGCATTGAGATGAATGCACATGTAAAACGGATAGTCCAATTTTAGAATTACAATGTTTTTTCTCTATTTACATATATAAGTTTCAAATTTTATAAAAATTCACAATGTCAATATTCATAATAGTTCCCTCATTTATGTTTATGTGTGTTGGAACAAACAAGTAATAAGGTGATATACTTTCTATAGTTTACAACAGTTTAAAAAAATTAAACAGCAATTTTGCACTTCCATGGAGAAACATTTGTCAATAAGTTAGGGATGTCTATCATCAGTTCTTGTTTGACATACAACTAAAGAACTGGAGAATTGAAGGGGGGCCTTCGCAACAGCTTGTCAGGTCAATCCAAATAATCATAAATCTTTCCATCATATTTAGTTTGCTGGCCTTGTCAAAAATTATCACATTTCAGACCATAGGACTGCTAACATAAGTCAATCATTCAGTTCTGTGTATTTTCTATGCAAATTTGGCCACCTGGATGAGAACAGCCCATCTGGACTAAGCATCAAACTTGTTGCCAACAAGTTTTTTGAAGTGGATGGGCAAGTGGTCTGCTCGCGAAATGACTGGATGTTGGGAACCAGTTATTTCATTGGTATACTTATGTAATTAAAATGAATTGACAGAGGCATGCCATTTCTGTTTGTTTATAAGAGAAGTATCAGGCTTGTGGTAAGCAAAAACTGGTGTTGCACACTATTTATTGGTAACCTGAACAGAAATTTGACTGAGGCTCTCAAAACACTGTTACATGGGTGAGAAATGTAAAACCTGACAACATAACTTCCAATTTTTCATCGCATTTAAAATGTGAAAAAAATTATCAAAACAAAATCCTGTAATACATAATCCCGAAAACTTTTACCTATGCTGTTACCAAGGTAATCTCTCATTCATGAATTAATGCCACAAGACAATGAAATCAGGTTGGATATTTTTTTTTATTTCACATATTTATATACAGCAAATTCATTTTACTTGTCTTCTGGTTTGTTGAAAACGTATGTCAGACAGCATTTGCCACAATATTGTCTATCAAAGTGTGAAGCCATGAACACTCCAGCTCCACATTCTTCTGAGGGACACTCACGGCGCAGGCGGGTGATCTTGCCATTTTCATCAACCTGTCAAAAATAATGTTGTACATTAATAAATATGAACTAGTACAAAAAAATTTACTTAGGTGTAAAGGAAAACGTTTGCTCAGGTTAACAGCATTACTCATCAGGCATCAGAAGGTGTCCTAAGTTAGCTATTCATCATTGCAAGAGATTTAATCACTTTAACAACGATTTCAACTGTTTTTAAACTTTTTCAGTGGAAGATCACAAATATTTACTGCCAAGCAAGGAAATGATTTTGTTTTAAAATGAGTGGTATCATTGAAAGAAAGAGTTTTTGTGTAAAAAAACACTGCTACATATTTACAAACCTTGTAGTACTTGAGGACGGCCAACTTGACCTTCTTCTTCTTGTGCTTGTTCTTTTTGGGTGTGGTGTAGTTCTTCTTCTTTCTTTTCTTGGCACCACCACGAAGACGGAGCACTAAGTGGAGAGTGGACTCCTTCTGGATGTTGTAGTCGCTGAGGGTGCGACCATCCTCAAGCTGCTTGCCAGCAAATATCAAACGCTGCTGGTCTGGGGGGATGCCTGAAGACAAGCAGACAGTTTGTCAAGTGAGGAAACAGTTATTGTAGATCATCATCGTCAAAAGTGTTCAATCTGACCAAATCGAGTTTCAGAAAATCAAATATGCTGTTTACACCTAGTTCCCTACATCTCTTTTAAAATGTTGTTGCTCAGAAATTTGGTAACGCATGGTAGTTCCAATCATTGACATCAGAAGTGTCCTAAGAATGTCATCCTTGCAACAAACAATTGATAACGGTGCTCTCACCAGTATTTAGTCCTCAGATAAAGATAACCCCACTACACATAGCAGCCCAAGCCAACTGCCCACCAAAAGTAACACCAGAGTGGTAAAGATTAAATTTTACACTACACTAGCCCACTTATAGACCCATGGGCTTCTAACTTTTGTAACCTCAAGTCAACAATCTCACAACATACTTTGGTACATAGTGCTATGAACATTAGGTTTGTGAAAATCATCAGATTTTTATCTTTTAACTGTAATACTTACCCTCTTTGTCTTGAATTTTTGCTTTGACATTTTCTATGGTGTCACTGGGTTCGACCTGCATAAGAAAGAAAAATATTACAGAATTAAGCAACTAAAACCAACAAATAGCTTCACTTGTTGCTCAGCCATTTTGGTAACGCATTGGAAAATGAGATCAAAACATTTCATAAGTGTCCTACTATCATCTTTGCAACAACAGATAGATCTCTCAGATTACAAATACAGTTTGAAATCATTTAACTAGTATAGTTTTGAACAGAAAAAGAGGGCGCTGAAATGTATAGTTAATGAATATATTACTGAAATCATTTTAGGAACTCATTGGTAAATTGTTTTAAGAAGGGGGGAGGTAACACTAATGTATAGGAGGACCATACCTTGGCATTTAAATTTTTTCTTTTCTTTTTATCTTTTTTTTTGTTTGTTTGTTTTTATTAAAATATTAACCTTTCAACTGCCTTGTTGAACCAACTGGAGATATAATGCACAATATAGATCTAATTTCAATTCAGAGCAGACTATGTCTTTCCAAAGGTAATTTCTGACGCCCCACCCTCCGGGCCTGAATAATGTTGCAGAATTTTAAAAACTAATCATACCTCAAGAGTGATGGTCTTCCCCGTGAGGGTCTTCACAAAGATCTGCATCTTCCGCCTTCAACCTACAAAGTGGAGTGATAGATATTATAAGATGGCATCATCTGTCAAATTTATTAGCACAACCTCCACCTTTCTTTGTCACATGTCCCAATAATATATTTATGTCAATTGCTCAGAAAATACAGCATTTCTCATCAGACTTCAGAAGGTGTCCTAAGTTAGCTGTTCATCACAGCAAAAGCAATATATTTGATATTCATGCCATGCATGTAACACTGTTCCATATATCATGTAGCTGCTAGCCCCCCCCCCAAACAGTCATGAAATTTAGTTGTAGTGTCAAACATTTCTAAATGTTGATATCTTTTATATTCTAAAAACTGGTGTTTCAATGTTTGAACTATTCCCATATGGTGCACCAAGTGAACATTATATGTACTTCTAATACTGCATAATGTATTTCTCAAATCCAAGTAATTCCATCTCCATTCATAAGACACAGGGTCTATTCCCAAATGCGACTTGTTACATTTTCTGCACAATGTTCAGGCTTCTTTGAGGGAATTACATTGTGATACATCATTTCTGATCCCAAATAAATCATAGAACAAATATTGGACGCACACATGATGTAAAATAATTGCACTTCTTTTGGCTCTTTTTCACACTATTACCTTTTAGCCAGGCGGCCAGCATGAAAAGGAAGTGCGGGGTCTCAGATGGCAAAACAAGGAGTAACTAATCTCGTACGCATTACAAATAAAGATATGGTTTCTTTTTTGCTGGATTATCAATTTACTTATAAAATTAGTAAATACAATAAATATCTAGTTTTATGCAGCAAAGTATATGTTATATGACTAACTGTATGAAAATAACTGAATTTTTTTATTTTTTTCTCCACTTACATTTTTGCGATTAAAAGTCGACCTACTTTGTAATTCACAATAAACATGGCGGCGAAAACGAAGGTCGCTCGGCTTGAAAGCGAACTAGAACGTGCTCGAGGGGAGGCTAATTGGTCTAAGGCATTTGAATTGGCCACACAGCTATCTAATAGATCGCCCGGGTTTGGTAAGGGATATGACATGATTTTATTGCTTTTGCTAAACAGATTGCAATGTAAATAATCTCCGTCCAAGCGACCGGCTTGTCAATGTCAGCCTTGTGAAAGCTGTGTACCTCCTTATTTATGAAAATAACATTGTATGTTGGAATGCCTTTAGAAATCCCACTTAGTTTTAGTCAACAAAAGGGTATTATTTCTGAATTAATGCACATGTTTAACATATGGTTGCTTCTCTGTAGCTGGCCTACGGTGTAATTCTCACTGCCTTCAACATTTCCTAGATTTGAAATTATTGTTTCAAATATATAAATAATTTACAAAGGTTCACCTATCTGTGAGGTGATGGTCAGTTAAAGACTGAGATGTGTGTTTGAAGCTGTCAAATCTTTTGCTTGCCTCTCATTTCCTCAAGGTGCACACTACTGGAAAGCCAAACAATTTGCTATTGATGGTGAATGAGGTCAGGTTCATCTGGTCATCTACCAGATATGCTGCCATTAAATCATAAGCCTTTTGGAATCTGCCATTAACAAACTTCTGAATACAAAAAGGAGGCCACATGGACCTTGAAGCAACTTCCATTCAATACATGATTTTTTGCTCTGTTTGGTTCTGGGAGGGAAGCATAATTTGACCCACTTTGTGAATTCTGAAATCTCATTTACAATACTGTATATAGCAAAATCATTCACAATACTGTCAATAGCAAAATTGTTGGTCTTTCAACAGTTTGATGTCTTAGATCCTTCACGTTTGGGCAGATCTGCTAACAGAACATAATTTAAAAGTGATCTTTACTGATATCTTTTATGCATTAACAGAACAGTAGATATGGAAAATGTAAATAATAGTGCTAACATATTCTTTCGCATGGTACTATTCACTGTGCCAGGTGCTTTTCGAAAAGTATTTATTTATTTGCCTTAAAATCTTGCATGACTTTTGTGAATAGTTTTATGTCATTTTGTGTATTTTGTGTTTGTAGAAACTTTGACCAAATTCCTCATGGGCGAAAAACAACTCGAAGAATACTCCGCTGTATCTAAAACAGATGATCAATCAATAGCTAAAGCTAAAGAAGATCTCAGTGAAGTTGAAAATCACTTGAAGGAGGCCATCAAAGGATTTCATTTAAGAGTAAGTTACTATTTCTTTTACAAATTTCTGTTAATAAGAAATAGTGTGTGAGAAACATAGATAAGTAATCAAAATATTCTTGTGAAACAAGTAATGCTCTTGCTTTCTTGGTATGTTAAAAATATAGTATATAAAGCACATGGTGAAAGCGTCTATAAACTCTTCTCTATTTGCCAGCCTGAACTCAAAAAAGAAGCTCAGCTCCTCCTGGCGAAGGCATATTTTGTGATGGCAGAGTACAAGAAGACCTTGGACTGCTTGGGAGATCTGGGTTTAGATACTCTCAGTGTACAAAATGTCTCAACAAGAATGCTCAAGATCATTGCAGAAGCATTTGCCATAAAGGGTAAGAATATTGACAGATTTAATTTTATTGACAGAATTGTTCATAAGTTTATCTTGCAGCGTAATTCCTTAATAACCGCTTTTAACCTGCTTGATAATAATACTTTGTAGTGAGTAATGCAACAAGACATAAACCTGCTGATATTGGTAATTAATACACCTGTTTCAGGCATGTGTTTAGAGAAATTGCCACCCCCCACAGCGACCACACCACTCAAACAACAAGAACACAATGAAAGAATTGTTGGCTACTATGAGAAGGCAGGGGATCTGGCCATTGTCCATTTACAAGAGATGGACAAAGGGCTGACCCAAGCTGTGCCTAGTAGCAGTGGATCTTATAGTGGGTCTTGGAGTTCTACTTCACAGAATGGTATTGGAACAATACTGGAAACTGCTCTACAGAAGTCTCCCATACTGTATATTTCTCAAGGGTGAGTGAGACTGAGAGTGTTTTTTGACACTTAAGGTTATGTTAAGTAGCACGTTTTAGATTGACTGTACGTTAATTTTCTTCTTGAATAAGAATAAGATTTAACTCTGTTGTAAGTATTTTAAAGTATTGAATGAAAAATTATTTTAAACTAATAAGGTTGGTATTTAGCTTGGTGATATCATAGAGCAGCAAAGTTTTAGATATATTTGCCATTTCACTTAGTTGTTTATGGCTGCAGCTGTAATTATGATTTTATTTTGTCATTGAAATAATTTGATTTTTACTGAAACTTTTAGGAAGCTCAATCGAGGTATAGGAGCCTTTAGAGAACTCCTAACAGCTGTGGAATCCAGATCAACACAAAGCATGAGAATGGTAAACATCTTGTTTCAAGTGTGTAAAGACAAAATGAATATCTTTTGAAATCCCTAATGAACTAGACATTGGCTTTATTCTGAGTGGAATTACATTTTTATTTGTTTTTCATTTAATATTTATTTATTTATTTATTTATTTATTTATTTATTTATTTATTTATTTATTTTATTTATTTATTTATTTATTTATTTATTTATTTATTTATTTATTTATTTATTTATTTATTTATTTATTTTGTATTTGGGAATATATAGAATAATACTAGAACAATATGTGCTGGAACCACACTTGTGTTAATTTTCATTAAGCAAGACATAAAAAGACAGCTGATCAATTGAAATTTCTTTTCAGACCCTAGCAAGACAGCTTGCAGAAGTTCTATTAAGGGGTGTTTGTGATAAAACCTACATGCCACCAGAGAATGTTACAGGCAGGAAAAAACTTGGAGAAAATACATTAGAGCCTAGAAGATATGTTGGATCAAGGTATTTAAGGGATTTGCATATACATGTTAAATTAATACATGAAGCGATTGTGGGGATACCCTATGACACATATAAACTACTTTTACTAGTTTCTTGTACAACACAAATAAATTCAAGGGATAAACCAAATCAGTCCCTTAGGCTGCCAAAAATAGCCTTAAAACTGACCCTTCTTCAAATTTCTGGTTGTAAACCTGACCTATTTATCCATCCTCCTAGTTCATGAATGTCTGCCAAATGATGTAGTAATATATGATGCATTGCTACAGCACATGCAATAACATAAATTCAAAGAAGACTGGATGAGAACAACTAAATGTCATATATATATAGGACAGAAAGAATGTCAAAAATATCACTTCAAACATTGTTTTTCCTGAAGTATGAGACGGCACCCTTTGACATGCTATTTGAAACTACATGAAAGCATTTTGGTCAAGCTTAATAGCAAAGCTTTGACTTCATGTGTAGCTTTAAAACTGAGTGTAGCTTTTGTTTTGGAATATAAAAATATTAGGAAAAATATGCATGATGGTTTATGATGATTGTATTTTATTCTTCAGTCGATTTAGACCTCAGCAGAGAGATGAAGAGTGCTTGCTGTTACTGATTATTGCAGAATCTCTGGTGAGATGTTTGTTGGTCAGAGTTCTTAGCCTGACTGTAGACATTCAAATTTTGTCTTTCACCTGTTACACTACATAAAAAAGACTAGTGTATGCACCCACGCATGAATACACTCTTTATCATTACAAGAGATTCTTTTAAGGAACATACATAACCAACATGAATGATATACTTATCAAAAGCTATGAGAAATTGTAAGATATAACTACCAAAATATCTTCAGATGTGATGTGAGCTGTTTTCATCAGAGAATAACTAATCTGGTATTTTCACCTAGAATTCCAGGCCCTAATCACTGGTCGTGTTCTCCACCCTAGAAGACATTGACCCCCTCCCCTCCCCCATTTAAACACAATTGACTTGTTCTTAAAAAATGTTATCTTAATTATTTTTCTTCGTGTTGTCCAACTTTCTCAGTCTATTACTCTGAGACTAGGAATTACCTTACAATTTCTCATTGCACTTGATTGTAAATATTATATGAATCATGCTTTATATTGACTGAATGCAGAGCTAGTGAAAGTGTTCTCTCAGCTAACCAACTATTAACTGTACATTCCAGGCCAGCAAGGCAGCTGTGTTAGAGAGATCTCCTGAGGTGCAGGAAACCAAGGAGCACTCCTTCCACAATGCCTGTGCTGTGTATGACCTGCTCACCATTGTGTTAGTGAAGAAAATGCAATATCTCCAGTTATCACAGGTACATGTTTTATATTTACTGTGAGAAATTTTTTGTCAGTGTGATGATTTTTATGTACAGACACAGAAGTG